CTGTTAAAGATCTCCTGATCCTTACACGTGATCTGATAATACTCCCGTATAGTGACTAGATTTACAAACTCGCTTGCGCCCACGAGATAAAGATGAGCCCTATAACCTTAAATAGCCCAGCCACAACTAACCGGGCCTAGCCCGTAGCACTTCCATCCGCTTCGACTTCAGGCTACTGAGACGGTTGGAGCTGGAGGTGGAGTTTTTTGGACGTCCGGGCCCTCCATCTCGTCTAGGTCCCCGACACGATCTTGCGTGTATTCAAGGAGTTGGAATGAGCAATATGGTAGTGCTTTAGGCAGCCTATTAGGTACATGAGCAACTGTATGGCGTGGGCACAAGGATTTTAGTGGTGGTTTTCTATGCCTGGATGGCACTACATTCGTTTATGCTTAGACTTATGGTCTGTGTCGCTTACACCTGTACTCATAGCGCACACCTCTCACTATTTCGTCAACATTTTCTTCAATTCTAGGAATAATGCGCTCATCTTATTGCGAGATATTTCCATCGACTATAAGGGTGGATATGTGTGTGAGTTTATTGTACTACTTGAGTCTATGACTATCTAGCATATTGGGCTCCTCTCTGACCCAGGCCACACCTTGTACAGTGCTCCTATCCTCTTTTGTTACTTGAAAGATCATTGATATATTCCCCTTCATGAATAGCCATTCAGCTCAGTATTTGCCCGTGGAATTCGGCCACCTTTTCCACGGAACCTTCTACCCAAAAAAATGAAAAAATAAAAGGTAGCAATGGAAACTGCGTGCGCGGGAAAAAGTCTCAAAAAACCTGCAGCCCCAGACAGGCGAGGCCTAGACACCGGGACCACATGAGGTGCGCATATTCATCTATATCTCACTTCTTTGTAACAGTCAAGGCCAACTTGATCCAATCCACCATCGATGTATCGGGTGCTTGGTACGCTCCAGAAACTCATCGGATGGCTTCTCCTCCATGATTAAGGGTTGGTTATGAGTAGGGCTCCGACCCTACCATCTAATCTGATCGTGGTTAGCTTCATGATAGTGGGGAGAGGGGTATGTGTTGAGAGATGAAGGCGATACAGTCCGCAAATGCGATTGGGGATCCTCATCAAAGTGAGAGCTTTGTCGCTCAATCTCGGCTCTGCAGACTTCACAGTGAGAGCTGGGAGTTGGTAGCGGACACCACTGACAAGTGTTGAGCATAGTCCCCTACGTAACCTAGTGCCGTAGAGAAACATTAGCGATTTTCTATGATCCAAGTTCTTTGTGGTGCGGATAGTTGTCGAATTTAGTGGGAAACAGAATTTTTGATAGCTCTCTAGTAATGAGTTTTATAGGTATGCAGCTATCTAGCTACAACACATGATGAGCGGTCTGTGTACATTTTGATTGATTCGACGTCAGAGGTATTCATATTCTGGACTCCATTCTCAAATACCGTCATGGTATATGTTTGTTTACACAAAATAGTTGGCCCTTTTGTACGAGTGCCCGCCAAAAGGAGGTCTCAAAACCTTTGATTATCCAAGTGTGCCTTCATAATATATGCAGACCAGCACTGTGAGAATTGTGGTCGACCTTTGCTGGATGAAGCCGCCATCTCTTATCTCGCATTAAATGGATATTCAAAATATCCAGATCTGCTGGGGAGATTAGCCCAGAGAATGTGCTATTGCACCATTCAACTATTGCGGTGTTTATAGTGTCTCAGGCACTTTTCCAATCAAAGGATTAGCGCGCACGATGCCCTTCAATCTGTCATTCTCCTTCCTAAAATTCCAATTTTCACACCAACAGAGATATTATGTATCCTTTGTATCATCCAGTCAACTTGTCCTGTATTCCCTCACACCCATCCACAAGACCTGCCTCTTGGGATTGTGAGGCGCGATCGGTTTTCTGCTTCGGGTATAAATTTTGGCGTGGGTGTATATTTAGAAGCCGACAAAGGCCAGAGACTGAGTTGCCAAGAGGTTTGGTCATTGAAACGAGAAAGTAATTGGTTATGCTTGTAGATCTTATGAATCTTGGACGGCAATGTATCTCTCGCTGTGACTGGGGGATTAATATATTAGCGATTCTTGAATCATTGCGTCAAGGCACAGGACCAATTGATGAATGTAGACACCAGGACAAGTCCGAAAGTAATGACAGTAGATTATTCTAATCTATAGAATAAGCCAGAAGCATAACTCCTTTCTATTGTTAATTATACCGTACTCAATGTCATTGCTTTGAGAGTAGCGGTATCAATTACGAGCCTCAAGTAACCAGCCTTTTCATAGTCATCTTTTTGGTTATTAGCGTCATATGGAATGTATCGCCTGACTTGGTGCTGGCGCAGACAATACCAAGCACACGCGTCAGTCCCATAAGTCTTCATAGGTCATTTTCTTTGGCATAGCGAGACTTGACTAGACACGGCTGAGGTAATGTTTCATACCTAGGTTCGGAGAGAACACCGCGGACAGGTGTTGAATATTTGGCCTCCCGCGTCGCCTTCTTTTTTAAATCATTTAGTGTGTATTCAGCTATGGCACATGACACATAACCATTGCAATGTGCACATGATGGATGACCCTTTTGACGTTAGAGGCACTCATACTCTGGATTTAATTTGCAAACACCACAATGAGGTATGTTCGCTTACACAAACAGTCGACCTTCCTCCGTAAGTACCCACCAAAGGGACGTTTCAAACCTTTGGTTATCCAAGCATGCCTTCGTCATCCATGCATACCAGCGCCGCGAGAAACGTGGTTGTGTTTTGCCGGATTAGAACCAGGGATCTCCTGCCGCAAGTGGGATGTTTCAAAGCTATCCAGATTCTACTTGAAAGACCGGCCAAGGAGATTTACCACCGCACCATCCAACCTTGGCGTCGTTTATAGTGTTGCCTGCACTCTCGCAACCGCAGCCTTCAATAAGCAGACAATTTCAAACTTTGGTGAAAGTACATACATTACCTGCAAAAGTATGTAGATGTATATGCGGGAAATATTCTAGGTGCTAAGGCTGGATGATTCTGTGGTAAATCATGCGCGATGGTCTCTGAAGTAGTCGATTTCGCTGAATAGCCGTACCGTTCAGAGTTGGGAATCTTCTTTTCCTAACATTTCCGTTCCAATTAATCATTATCCCCTTCAATCCAGGTGAAAAATCTCATAGTTACATATCCTAATTTAACACCCTTTGTGTACTGCCATGCACTTGAATGTATCCAAATATTTAAGTAATGCCTCCTTCTCCCCTTTTCATCATTTGGGGACTGGGAACCGCTGCTTTGTAAACACCAAGACTATAAAATATATCTCACAATGCTCATGTATGGAACGACAGCTGTCAGAGTACACCAGTATAAGCATTGAGACTTTCCCTTGTTTGGCATCCGTGGAGGAGGGTTGACTAATTTGTGTAAGCAACTCACCTCACATTAGTATTTGCGAACGAAATACAGATTATGAGCGTCCCTTAATTCAGGAGAATTATCCAACGAATACAAAGGTTATTGTTGATTTTCCATGACTAGAAAGCCGTCAAGATGTAAATCTGATGAGAAATATAATACTTGGGGGCCTTTGTGTAAATGTCACATAAATAGTCAAATTCTTGGAGCGAACACAAGAACGAAGAACCGATTCTTCTATTGCATGTCAGCCATAGCACTCCAATATCTTATCCTACCTCTAATAATGCTTCTAAGCAACGTCACTAGTACAATATGTTTGCATGAAAATCGTACTTTCGCTTTTGGACAGAATACAGGCTTATGCAAGAAGAAATCGGTAATTGTGCGTAAGATTATATAGCCATGATATCAGACAAATTCTTATGTAGGTGTTAGAGGCCGTTGTTGGCTCAAGTGACACTTCAACTCAGAGCATCATTCCTGATTATCACGAGTGAGCTTGGTTTATGCATTGAACAGTGCGCACTTGCGCATAAAAAGTGGCGTTGGTATATGAAGCTTTGGAATTGTTCAGCTGAGGAAAGATAATGTGGGTTTTTATCTGCAGTTGGAGAGTTCTTATTGCAGCTAATGCTTCCACCTCGCCAACTTGTAGATAAGAAAAATAGTGATCAAACTACTTCAATCCACCAATTCAATACGTTCAAATTTGCGCGACTTTGAGTCTGCGACCTAAGTAGGTGTAGCAGGAAGTAGCTGCATAATAATCCTAATTGAGTTTCAGCCTGACACTATTCGGTGCGACATAGTGATGTAAATACACCTAAACCACCCAAGTTCCAAAGATGGAGTTGAAAATATGAGGTCTCAATGTAACGGCGAACTGGTAGTCAATCTGAAGTCTGGGACGCATGGCTTTTATATTCTCGCCACCCAATTATCTATGTCCAACATAATTATCACTCTTAGGGCGAATTTCACCATGACTTAAAACTAGACCAATAATTTATGATTTGTGCCTGGTATGTCTACTGAACCATATTTTTATTGATTCTACATTGTTTTACAATGTAAATCAACCCGATGATCAGCTCTAGCTAAATTTCATACGGACTGTAACTTCGGCATAGCTACGGCTTCCATAACTACTGATCTATGCCTGTTCTGTACATTATTGTTAATGGATCAAAACCGTAGATCCATGAGGAAAACTGATTACCTCTACTTCTTATCCTGCACTACAAGAAAACGTGTCTCGTTGACTGTGTGTTTGTTGAATAGGACACATGATGTTTAAGGAGGAATCAATTTATCAAGAGCTCATTATTCTCTTCGTACATTTTCGGAGACAATAAATTTCCTACGCGTTTGAATTAGTACTGACTGTTTAAAAATTTATGTTTCCGCTCCACATACATTTTGAGTTTATGGAGATGGCCTCCTCTGGATTAAACATTAAACTGTCGGAAGCGACATCAATAGAGCTGTGATGATGAATTAGAAGTCTCAGCACCAGCGAGCATGCGCCAAAGGCGCTGAAACTTCAAAGAGGAGGTTGGACTGTAGGCTTGTTGTCAGGCGGTGGCTTAAACATTAACGCATCATCTGTTTAGCCCGACCAAGCTAAAGAATTCGTTTCGGGTCTTATCTCTCTTTTCGAGACAGCCCAAAACGCAGCTAGTGATAGTTGTAGCCTGGGTTTTTTGTACCCCCCTCATCACCATACAAAGATGGCTCGACTCCATGACCACCGCAACTCCTTGTGGCTTTACAACATCCATGATAGCGTGGGCCACATCTGTGGTGAGACGTTCTTGAATTTGTAGGCGCCGAGAAAATAAGTCGGCTATTCTCGGAAGCTTTGAGATTCCTATGACATCTTTGTCTGGTATATAACCAATGTGCATCTAGAGCAGACGTCAGCCTACTAGTCACGCGCGACCAGATGGTATAAATGTCACTTTTCCTGTAAATGGCACCATGTGGTGTTCGCATAAACTGAATACCTCAATATCTTTGACAATCACTAGCTCATTGTGTCCTTCGTGAAAAATAGCATCATTTACAATATCTTTGATATTTTCTTGGTATCCCTGGGTAAAGTACAACATAGCTTTGGCATAACGTTCTGGTGTACGGCGCAGGCCTTCGCGATCAGGGTCTTCTCCTATGCACTCGATAATAGTGCGGACTGCATCGGCTATCTTTTTCATTCGCACAGCCGCAGATTCAGGAGATTCTTCTTTTCGTTCACGCGTTCCAAGACCTGGGCGACAAACTATTAGTCATGATTCTAGTTGGGCAAGAGCTGTGACATACTCGGTCTACTCAAACCATCAAAGTCAACAACTGCACTAGAAGATTTTGACTCGATACTCTCTGGCTCCGAAATACCTGGTGATGGCTGATCACGCGGATCTCGAGCAGGCTTACTGAGGCTGTGTCTGCGTTTCTTTACTGTTAATCCGTTCGTTTTTGTTTCTGACCGGTTCTTTCTCTTCTTCTTTTGCTGTTGCTGTCGCTTGGTGTCACGTTCTGACTCTGCTTTACCATGCTGAGTATCTATAGATGTCTTCAATTCTGGCATCTCGTCAACTAATCTTAGTTTTTCTCTTACGGTATTTATATTCGACAAGACTTATTTCGAGTTTTTCCTACTAGTTTAATAGAAGTCTGAATATATTTGACTAAGAGACCGTGCATATACTGTTGTCAAAGATATTAAAGAAGAGTTGGCTCCGTGACGCGGATATTTATCGATGAAAATGTAGGGAGCTTCGATTCCTCTGTAGTAGTTAAATGTGATAGTACTTAAATTTCACCGATCCTATTTTACTTTTGTTATATCTAACATGTGGGCGCTAATATATCCGTAGTTCACCCCATTTCGCCTACTAGCAAATGAATCAAGCCCGTTAAGGGTAATATTATTAGAAATATTTTATAAAGTATCGGATAAGAGCGTGTGTATATCTGCCATATACCCCTGGCTTGCAGCTGCACTTACGTGCAGTAGCTTATACTAGAATCTGTTGCTTCCCCATACATGTCAAATTGCTGGTTGATTAATGCTCTAAACGCGTAATGATTTGTCGGTCTAATTGATTCACGCAATCAGATAGCAATGATTTCATCAATATTCAGGTTAATTCGTTCGTATCTCATATCTACCCGGTCTCGAATCAAACACAGAGTCATGCGCAAATCGAATAAGTTCCGCCTCCCGCCTCTCACAAATCGTGTCAAAGCGACTTCGATGACGAGCAACGACGGTAAGAAACAGAGGAATCATGCCTTTGCATCATCTCACCGCGTAGCTGTCCAGCATATTGGCGAGAGCGATTCACAAAGACCGCTTTTTTGCGGGATTAAGGGTGTGTGGGGATCTTATTTTCTATTGGAAGATTAGCAACATGTATGTCTTCTCTACTTGCCGCATTGATATCCTGGATGAAATATCCCTACACTCTCACTTTGCTGGACCCATCCCTAGCGATCTGGCCAAATTACAGGCGATTCCAGAATCGAGCAAAAGGAGCCCTGACTCGACAGGTGTTCAGTCTTGACCTGTATCTCTCACTCGTAGGAATTTATATTTGTAGAGACGACGATCTAAAGAATTGAAGTTCACGCCGTTCGTCACAATTTTACCGAAACTTGCCCTTGGCCGGTGGCTGATAACATCCCTTGGCACTACCCTTTTGTAACAGTACATTCAACAACAAATAAAAGCGCCGCTCCATCAAAGTAATCGTCTTGTTAAGTAGAAGCTTCGTATCTTTTTTTTGGCATACTACTACAAATTATACAAACATTTGCGTCAAGCAGCGATAAATTTCGTACCGTCTAGGGAAATTGTAGAAGGCATGGGATCAGGCCAATCGCGATGGTTATAATTACCAATTTGTTTTTTCAGATAATAGTGCCTGGGTATGGCACGTGATCCTCGAGAACCCTTGCCGGTTATCTAAGTAAAATTCAAACTACCCGGTGTCCCTGAGGGCCCTGCATTTTCCATGAGGCACAGATCTTTCCGTCTAGGAGCTTGATGTGAAAATTACTCCAATTCAGTGAGCTTCTACTTTGGACTACTGTGGAACTTGATTGTAGAGATATCATTATACATGATTGAGAGATAAGTGAGGTAAGTGCGTGTTAACGCACAAATTGACCATATGTAACGCTGTTAGAGAATAGCTGATGACGTAGGTCATTTAATTGTCAGTAAAATCGTTTTCGAACTACTCGACGACCTGGGATGATAAATGCTGAAGCCTGTCATTGGTGTCCTGTACGAACGTGGAGATGAAATATTTCCTCAGAGTCGAGATAAAGTCACGAACAAGGCTGGGATAAGTTGTGTTTGAAAATTTGTCGGCTTGTGCATTTGTGGCTTATGGTCCTGTTTGATGAAAATCTTGTTATGCTCAGCTAGGTAGTATGGTACATCTAGTTACTGGTGCATAGGTACTTATTATGGCAATGTGGGGCATGAAGGAGATCCAGTCTATACATAACAGCATTAAAAGTAGTACTGTGTGCAGTACGAGAGATGAGTTATTGATATTGGACAAATGACATAGTTGCTCAGATAGGAGCACACTTTGGTGCGCTGCATACTGGTTACATGATTGGTCTACAGGCGAACAAGCTAGGGGATAAGGGACGAGCTTCCCCCAATCTGTAGCATAATAATCATCACTAACCTCATATATACATATCAATGAAGATATCTCTGCATAAACTATCTCAGCTGTTCCAGCGCAAATGTAAATTCCCAAATTATATACCAATCATAATAAATATAGCTCACTGGGTTCCTCTCTAGCCCAGGCCACATCTTGTACGGCGCTCTTATAACCTTGTTACTTGGAAGATCTCTGAAATCTTGCCCGCGATGGATAGTCATTAAGCTTAGTATTTAACTGTGGAATTTAGCGGCTTTGTACATGGAACCTATTCAAAAAATTAACATGGCAGCAATGGAAACTACGTACGCTGGAGAAAGTCTCAAAAACCTGCAGCTATAACCAGGCGAGGCCTAGACACCGGGACCACATGAGGTGCGCATATCCATCTATATATCCCTTCTTTGTAACAGTCGAGGCCGACTTGATCCAGCCCATCATCGCCGTATCGTGTGCTGGGTACGCTCCGAAAATTCATCGGATGGCTTTTTCTCCTTGATAAAGTGTTAGTGATGAGAATGACTTCGGCCCCAACATCTGATCTGATCGTGGTCAGCTTCATGATAGTAGCGATAGGGGTTTTTGTCGAAAGGTGAAGACGACACAGATTACGAAAGCGATTGAGAATTCTCATCGAAGTGAGGACGAAGGTGTTTTCAACCTCGTCTCTACAGACTCTACAGACTCTAGAGTGAAAGCTGGAGGTTCATAGGGGACACCACTGATAGGTGTTAAGTTTTTTCCCCCAAATTATCTGTTTGAAGGAGTTGTACCCAGTATTTTGCAAAAAAACAGCCAGCAGAGATTTCATTATCGAAAAAAAGTAGAGCAAGAATTCTTCACCTCCATCATAGGATTCACGATTAAGGTTAAGTCTATTTGGGGGCGGTATCCAAACAACCAATATCCCTCAAACTCCAGATTTATTTTTGAAGAAATATTTTCGGCCAATTCGGCCAATTCTGCAACTGTAGCCTACCTCTTAACTCACCTCACCACCAACCAACAAACACCCAAATCAGGAAATTCATGATGGAGATGGGACGTGTATAATTGAGGAAAAAAAGGAAAATACGCTGAGGGGATCACACCTTTGCACGAGAATTCAGATACCCAATGACTACAACAACCAAACCGTATGACGAAGAGGTACAAGGTTAGGACAAGGATGGGATCTGGGATGATATAGATATTTCGTAGTCGATGACGATATCAGGGGCTCGAGCACATGATGGCCAAGACTGAAGAGGAATTTAGGCTACGGCTTATATACAGCGAGTTTCTAGACGGTCCGGCTAGATCAGATAATCTACAATTCAGCATACAAGCCTTGCACTACCTGAATGGCTAGATCACTTCGGACTATACCCGCAAACTATTGGCAATTTTACAGATAGGCGTAATCCAATTCCGTTATTTATTGGAAGATCCACCAACATAATCATTGACACAGTTAAATTTTAAATTTTCACTTCCCTACGAATATGGAATTCCGTTAGTAGATTTACGTCGGGAAGAATGTCCGCAAAAAATGAATCGTCGTCCTCAGCGTCAACCGATGAAAGTGATCAACTGCATTCATACCTTTATTGTATTATTGCCGCAATGGAGCAATGGGAAAGTGAAAGAAAGTAGAGATTTGTTTTGGTCTAATAATTTTTAAAACATATCAGTGCCGGGACTAAAACCCTGGCAATAGCAAGAGGTGCAGCTTTGATGGCGCCATTCATAGAAATGATTGCGAAAATCTGTCACGAAATGAGATCATGGTATAAACGATCCAGCGAAATATACGAGGTTTATTCCGGTTTCCTAAAATAATGTTGACGTAAAAACAACTGTGGGTTATGGTTGGCCAATTTATCAAAGTTATTTCACATATGTGTCTCGTGGATCTGACTAATCTAATCTAAAATGAAATGAGTAGAGCTTAAGAATAAATACGTGATGGATTATTCTACAATATATGTAAGTACGTATTAATTTCGTATCAGGCAAAAGCCCTACACTCAAGAGGCATGATACGGGTGTGTGATCCCTAAAGACTCACTGCTACCTATCCGTCCAGCTTTCTAAGCTCAGCAAGTACATGAAAGAATAGATAAAGAAGATAACCTAGACAAAAACCCGTCCTGCGCCCCGCCCACAGATTATTCTACAATAGATGATCGTCAACTTATTTAAAAATCCCCCCGCACCACATGAGCCTATGAACAGCGCACGATGTGCATAGTTGGGTTTCCATCAATAGGGATCCACTCAACTGCAGCGCGGATTAAGAGGATCTGTAAGAGAGAGATTTCACAGGAGTGTGGCTAAGCGGGCCTTGAAATCAAAATTTCACATGGGCGCATGAAGTGAGCGAAAGAAGTTTGTGCATCAGATCCCGTAACACCATCATTATAGCGTTTGCGATTGACAATGCTCTAAAACTTTTATCACTCTTCAAGGACTCGTACTTAATAATGAATACGGCAACAACAGCTGTACCTAGGGCGACAAAATCAACCGCGAGACCCAACCCTATTTTCCAGGAAGAAGTTAAGGATCATCGAGTCGCCGTATGTCGTAGTACCACAAAAAAGAGCTAAGCTTACTGAACTGCGCGCTGTTCCAAACTCACGGAAGCCAACTCAATAGATAAAGCCTAACGTATAAATCCCTTCAAAAATGAGACAAGCGCCTCTTTGTCCAGTTGGAACAACGACACGACTGGCGCATAAGAGGGCAAGACTGAACACCTGTACGCGGTGTCCTCTACGAATCTGGGAGTGAAATATTCTCCCATAGCCAAGTTCAGTCAAATTTCGCAATATCAAAGGAGTTGGCCCACGAAGCAAAAATGCAAATTACTCCTCTACGTCATTTTTTCGCACCCAACGAGTTTGACTTTTGCCTACATCTCATCAAGTCTACAAGTACGACCAAGTACATCCTCATTCCAATGATCACACCACTCCTCGACTATTCTCTGGCCTCAGCCGGTCACCAAATACACGCCCACGCCGATTTCACACCCGCCGAAGGAAGCAAAGCGTGGCGCACAAATCTGGTAGACAGTTCTTTGGTATGGACGTGAGAGGAATCAGGACTAGTTTACAAGATGATGCAAAGGAAGGATATAACCTCGAAGGGCGTGAAATTTCGAATTTTGGCAAGAAGTTTTACGAATTCAGCTTTGTGCGCGCTAAGACCTCGCTTGCAATAATGCAGCTAACTCTATAAAAACAAGCCAACGATAGAAGATGTAGTGGTCCGCCTCCTGGTGGTGTTCTCCGGTATATTTTGAGTAGCCTGGGCACCTACTCCACTTGGGAGAGAGACACCTCAGATCACATATCGCGCAGAGACAAGTCAGTGGATGAAGGAGGCATGTCTGGATAACTCAGGGTTTTTGAGATATTCCCCTGGGTGGGTATTCACGGATGAGGGTTGACTTTGGGTTGAAGAAAAAGCCGGCATAACTTCGCAGTGGTACTTGCAAATGAAATCTGAGGCATGAGTGCTCTTCCTTTACGTTGAATCATCTCTTCAGTACTTCTCTTTGATATCGTGTCATAGCCAGATAGCTGCATACGCAATTAAAATCTGATGCAAAAAAAAAGGGTTGATCGGATTTCAGGTGTACCCCTCACAAATGATAAAGTCATGTGACCTCACACGAGCATTAGAACAGATCTCATTGAAGTTTAGGGGTAACGAAGGGATATTGTGTGTAGGCGTGTAAATACTCCACATGTAGGGGATATAATATTCACGTGTCAATCTTAAGGTTAATACAAGATGTCTTGTGGTTTGGGACCGTGAGTCGTCATGTAGTTACCTTCTTAAATTGTTGAAATTACCCTCCTACTTGCTAACTTTTCCAAGTGCGTTCGGAAACATAACTGGGCTGGTCAGCATGCGACTTGGGACATGATCCGCGCACTGGCACGGCCTTGAATTTTATCAAATTTTGCGTGAAAAGTCATGAGAATTATCACAAACACCCCTCTTCACCGTACATTTGAGGCAGGGTATCTCTTGTCTTAGAGTGCAAGAATCAGTTACTTTTCTGGTTGGTGGCCAACTGTATTCTAATTGTGGACCAACTCTCACCATAACTTCAAGATCCCTCCAAAATTTTCAGGGTTTTCTACTTTTGGTTTTCAGGGCGTAGAGATCTATAATTTGACGTTAGTACTTTGTTTTTTGTTCAGATTTTCCCAGCACAATCGGTGATGGATGAGCGCTCTAGACGTACCTGACAGCCTTTCCAGCTCTCCAAATTTCGAGCTCTCGAATTTCCTTGAGCTCCTTTTCATACTTGTCACGATAGTCCTTTTGTGAATTGAATTGCAGGCTGCGCTCTGTTTCTTTTCCGCTCTCAACACTATCGTAGAGCTCGTTGAATACTGGCTTTAGGCTTTCCTTGAATCGACCACTCCAGTCAATGGCACCCCGTCGCGCTGTTGTCGAACACGCAGCGTACATCCAGTCCATTCCGTTGGCTCCAATTAGGGGGTAGAGCGACTGCGTCGCTTCTTCAACTGTCTCATTAAAGGCCTCTGAAGGAGAGTGACCTCTTTCACGTAATACCTCGTATTGTGCAAGGAACATGCCATGGATTCCACCCATCAGGCATCCTCGCTCGCCATACAAATCTGAATAGACCTCTTTCTGGAAAGTTGTTTCATATAGATAGCCCGATCCGACACCCACGCCGAGAGCAATTGCTTTCTCTTTAGCTTTTCCTGTCACGTCTTGGAATACAGCAATCGACGAATTGATACCACGTCCCTCGCAGAAAAGAGTTCGTACAGTTTTACCAGAACCTTTTGGTGCTACGAGGATAACATCGACATCATTTGGAACCTCGACTTTGGTCTGATCCTTAAAGACTGGCGAGAATCCGTGGGAGAAATATAGAGTCTATCACAGTCTAGATTCAGCCCCGTTCATTTTTTTCGTTTTTCAGCGGCTCAATCATAGTCGAAGAATATTTACCTTTCCTTTCGTTATTTGGGGCTTAATAGCGGGCCAAGTCTCTGACTGAGCTGCGTCGCTGAGTAAGTTCATGATGATGGTCCCTCGTGAGATCGCTTCGTCAATTTCAAATAAGTTCTTGTCAGGAATCCAACCATCTTTTTGGGCGTCAAGCCAAGATTGACCGTTTCGGCGCACTCCAATCACAACTTTCAGACCTTGATCGCGCATGTTGAGTGATTGAGCATGACCCTGCGAGCCGTACCCAATGATGGCCATGGTATCATTTTTGAAGTATTCCTGTAATATTAATCAGTCTGATATTTCCTAAATTGGTATAATTGATGAGTGATGAACCCTACCTGAAGCTTAGATACTGGCCAATCTGCCCTCTCTATGTACGATTATCAGCCCGAGAGAATTCAAGCCTAAGAGCTGTCAACAAACCATGAATTTCTTCTTCAACGTTGGCAAATGCTACAGTCTTAACGGTCCGAGTTTGGGACACTGGAGTTATAGCAACTGCCGCACGAGCGACAGAGACTCTGGCGGCACTTCTCACCGAGCATGCGATGGTGCGACAAGCAGAAGCATGGATGGATTTTGCTGCCGGTATTCTGATAGCTCTTGATAACGCACGAGAAGCCATGATGATTTCGATGACAGATTGGCGGATGGATGACCGTAATTAAAGTGGAAGTCTAGCAATGGTCGGTAGTGTACAAGATACAAAAATTAATTCAAAATATTCTCGGTTAATCAGAGAAAAACAAATCTTCCTCCTCTGCCCCAGCGATTTATTGAACATTGACTTTTAGATTATTTTTAACGTGCCAGGCATAAGCCCTGCACCTTATTTGACCCGACCCGAGCAATTGATTCCGAAAGACTAAATTCCATGAAGATGACTAATTCAATATGGGCCAGAAGTGAGAGATAGGTGTGTGTGTGTTTGTGTTTATTGTACTACTTGAGTCTATGACTATCTAGCACATTGGGCTCCTCTCTGACCCAGGCCACACCTTGTACAGTGTTCCTTGCCTCTCATGTTTCTTGAAATATCATTGATATATTCCCCTTGATGAATAGCCATTCAGCTTAGTGTTTGCCTGTGGAATTTGGCTACCTTTTCCACGGAACCTTCTACCCAAAAAAATGAAAAAATAAAAGGTAGCAATGGAAACTGCGTGCGCGGGAAAAAGTCTCAAAAAACCTGCAGCCCCAGCCAGGCGAGCCCTAGACACCGGAACCACAAGAGGTGCGCATATTCATCTATATCTCCCTTCTTTGTAATAGTCGAGGCCGACTTTACCCAATCCGCCATCTCCGTATCGGGTGCTTGGTACGCTCCAGAAACTCATCGGATGGCTTCACCTCCGTGATCGGGGGTTGGTGATGAGAAGGGCTCCGATCCTACCATCTGATCTAATCGTGGTTAGCTTCATGATAGTGGTGATAGTGGGATATATCGAGAGATGAAGACAATACACACGGCGAAAGCTATTGGGAATCCTCGTCGAAGTGAGGACTTTGTTACTCAACTTCGGCTCTACAGGCTCTATAGTGAGAGCTGGAGGTTCGTAGGGGACACCACTAACAGGCGTTGAGTATGGTCCCCAAATATTGGCCAGAAAAAAAATATAAATAAAGAAATATTTACGTTCGATATCCTGCGCCTCGCTCTTATTCCCCGGAAATGTCCATCAAGTGGCTAATTCCTACGTCAACGCCTTGACTTTTTTTTTACATCAGATGTTGAAAAGAAGCACCCTACAATGCAATTATCACCGACAGAGTACTAATGTGCAAGGGAAGCAAGAAGGTAGGTTCAATAGGATTTGATTAACTGGCCTCAATATTGGACGGGAGTAAGTTTTCTATAAGTACCACACTCACTCTCGCTCCGACACGATCAACATAGCTAGCCTGATACATCATCTAGAGTGCGTTATCCCTGCTATGCACTGACGTATTTACAATATCAGATTTTAATTGCGTATGCAGCTATCTAGCTATGATATAATATCAAAGAGAAGTACTGAAGAGATGATTCAACGTAAAGGAAGAGCACTCATGCCTCAGATTTCATTTGCAAGTACCACTGCGAAGTTATGCCGGCTTTTTCTTCACCCCAAGTCAACCCTGATCCGTGAATACCCACCCAGGGGAACATCTCAAAAACCCTGAGTTATCCAGACATGCCTCCATCATCCACTGACTTGTCTTCGCGCGAAATATGGTCTGAGGCGTCTCCTCAAGTGGAGTAGGTGCCCGGGCTACTCGATTATACCGGAGAACTCCACCAGGAGGCGGACCACGAGACCCTCCATCGTTGGCTTGTTTTTATAGTGTCAACTGCACTCTCGCAAGCGAAGTCTTGGCGCGCACAAAGCCCAATTCATAAAACTTTTGCCAAAATTCGAAATTCCACGCCCGTCGAGACTGTATCCATCCTTCGCATCATCTTGTTAACTTGTCCTGAATCCTCTCACACCAATCCCAAAGAACTGTCTCCCAGATTTGTGCGCCATGCTTTGCTTCCTCCGTCGGGTGTAAAATCGGCGTGGGCGTGTATTTGGTGACCGGCTGAGGCCAGAGAATAGTCGAGGAATTGTGTGATCATTGGAATGAGGATGTATTAGGTCGTACTTGTAGACTTGATGAAGCTAAGCTAGGATTCGATCTCTTTGGGAGTGAAGAGTTGATGTGGTGAAGTATTTTAAATAATTGCCTCGTGGGCCAATTTGTTCGGTATTGCGAAGATTGACTGAACTTAACTCTTGGATAATATTTCACTACCAGGTTCGTAGAGGAAACCGCGTAAAAGTGTTAGTCTTGTCTTCCAACGCCTTGAATTGCGCCAATCGATACTGTAAAGATCGCAGTTTCTACTTCACATCTCCATCCACTGATGCAGACATTGTCTTTCCTATGTTTTAAGTATTGGTGGTGATATCCGAAGGTTTAGCCTTGGCGCCCACAATCGTTCCAAGGTCGAAATCCCTAATAAAAATGACATTCCCATGATAACAATTAAAGACCACTCGTCTCTTTCATTTCACTTGCCTACCTACTATCCTGAAATAGGAGAGAAGATGTCTCTAGCAGGTGTGTTAGGCCAACATTTTTCGAGGGGCCTTTGATTTTTGGAATACTTGTGGGCGTCAAGACCAAGATTTCGGGAAATCAGCCAGCAGGATTTCTATTGTCGATGATTCTGCGGCCCACCTCAGTTCTCCAGAGATTGGCCTAAGTTTCTATGTAACAAACACCAACTATCAGGACTTTTCTGACATTTCAGCTCGACCTTCGGGAAAGGGTTGGAAGGAGACTAGAAACCTTGAGACGCTATTGGGTATGCACAGGTCTACTGCCTCCGGCTGCCCGGGCTCTTCGAACCCTTCAGAAGGATCAATATGTCTTCGGATTTAGTCCTGATGTCAGAATGAAGAGAGCTTCACACCCTGTGAGCTTTCAAGGTTTCCTGGCAGCCATTCATCTACAAATAGCCATACTTTCGTTGGCTGGAGAGGTAAAATGAAGGTCAAAGAGCTCTTCCTAGTACATGATTGAATGAGGACTTGTTAGAGTTGGTACAGTCTGAGAGGAGCTGTATGGAAGCCATAGGAGGGAGTATACTACTAGATAGGAATTCTCGATCTGTGATCAGAGAGGACCTGCGTGTTCGATATAGTCATAGACTGAGAAAGGACATAAAAATAGTCAGAGAACTTCATTCACTCAAACGCAGCACAACGTTCCACGACCATCATTTCATGATTTCAACAATTATTACTATATTAACTGGCTCATCTTTTTATTTCCCTCCATCTTTCTCGTCGCGCTTCAGCATAGTGGATTAGGGGTCTGGAAAGGTGGATTCCGCAGCAGGAAAAATTATCGCTGTACCACCAACGGACAGCGGGATATCCGCAATTACGGCTGTAGAATCTCTCGTGAATTCTACGGATGTTGACATGAATAACCTTAAGCCATTGCGGCTTTATTCAAATAAGTTTTGAGAGAGACTGGTGAGAGGAGTAAATAACCTAACTACGACACCAATGGTGTGGTGCATGTAGCTCTTGCGGCCCTCACGGTTCATGCGACGATACTACTATCGAAGTTAATGTCTACGCCAATGGAGGAAAAGATACTAGCCTCAGAAAAGGTATCAAGGAAGAGTCTCGAGAAGCCGGTCCGAAAGATTGCTCCTCAATCAGCATAGAAATTGGGAGGAAGAACTACATATGCCTCAATCGTCGCACCGCTAGCAACAAAATCGGCAGTACAGATACTAGTATAAGGAGCAGATATAATGTAGTCAGTAGAGCAGCTCTACAAAGCAAAATTACTCACTGAGGGGTCATACGCCATAAGGCGATTGCGGAGCAAAGACACGATAGCGCAGCCAAAGGGATTCTACGTTCTAAAGCAGGATTATCCTGTTAAAAATTTAGAAGTCTCATTAGGGATAAATATACAAGGAGTAGAGGATGCCAGTAATGGCTCAATTGTATATCAAATTGCTATGGAGATAAAAGCTAAGATTCCTGGAATCCAAATCGATAGGACATGATAGTTTAAAGATTGTAAAGATCACTCGTGGATATGGGATGACCATACTCGAGGGTTAGTAGTCGCGTGCCTCCCGACTGAGGTTCTTCAACGCGAGGCGGTAAATAAAGGCATTGTCTTCAACTCAGTGCTGTTTAAGGCCCAGCTCAAGTCACTTTTGATAGAAATCATGCATTCTTCAACTGCTGTCAATGAGGATATATCCAAGTCTCTCTTAATCGGACAAAAAGGTGTAGAGGGTGTACACGCATTCCTCAGACCAGATACTGCGCGTAGAAATCTGTACTTTTCTATAACTGCGGCAAATCTCAAGTGTTCTAGTAGAAAGGGGGCGTGCCAGAAATGCGCGTCAAGCAAGTTCAGTTTGCAGAGGGCATAGTATGAACTGATGGAGAAAATGCCAAATTTCATGATATTTAATAGTTATTGGCGTCAAAATATCACTAGCAACGTTTAAACCAACAGACAATCAAGGGTTCACACCAGTGTCCCACAAAAGAACTGAGGGAGACAAGAGAGGGCCTGGAAGCTTGCGCAAACAACTTCTGGTCCTAGTCCCATCGCCTATTCCAGTACCATTGGTGTCGAACCCACCGATGCGTGCATCAATTTTTTGAACGCGAGATAAATAAAAAGATGACGAGGTAAACCTTAGCTTGTCGTTTCTCGGAATGATTGCTATTTGCATTACCTATAGGTTAACAGGGGACCATGGGAATCGATTTTAAAGGGCGTGGGTTTTAAGGTATGATTTCTCCTTCATGTAACTATGTAGATTGGTCTGTAGCAACCCTCATACACTCACAGGGCGCCAGATTTGGTTAAATGAGTTCAAATCACTAATAAATGCAGACAAATAAGTTTGCATCATGGGAAGTAACACCACGAGAAATTTACGCTATGAAGCTCGAGATAGAGACGTATGGAGCGAAAATATGACTAGCAGATCATGCCTCTAAATCAATATTGACCCAAATAATTATGCTCGCCAGACTTTACATGTTTGAATCGTTTGGATTTTGAGTTTACCACATTCCTTAGCCGCACTTGATTACCTGCCGACTGTCTGGAAATTTCTAATAGAAAGTAAAGTGAAATACGCCACGCGCCTGATACTAGTGGCTAATTGAGCTTGGGGATTAAAATTATACATCCGACGACCTCTGCATTTCAGTCGGATGTTGCAGTGGTGTATAACCTGGGATAGTATCTTAAGTAGAGCCTATTTAGCTGTCACATTTATCCTAACTGTGACAGGAGATCGCTGGTTCTGATCCCGTGAAGTTGACCATATCTCTAATAACACTGGCCTATATGAATGACGAAGACCTGATTGGATAAATAAGAGATTAAATTCTCCTTTTACTGGAAATTGATGGAGGGTAGGGTGTACTGTGCAAAGGAAGACATTTTGGTGGTACATGCGAATGAAATCCGGAGTATGAGCGTCTCTAAATTCAAGAAATTCATCCAATACGCATGCACGCATATAATTGATATTTTGTCATAGCTAGACAGCTGCACGGAAAGGTAATGACAAGAAAACAATTCTATACTCTGGGACTTAGGGCGTTGGAAGGTCTTACAATGTGATATCACAATGGTCGACAAATGTCAGGTTGATTATTCGAATGTATATATCTATCTCTCTCTCTTCTACGTCTTCCATCATCTATATAAGTTATACATGACGAATCTTTCACGTGAGAACACGTGGTAATATGTGAGGTCATGGCAGATACTCTCTCCGTCGAGGTTTGACCAAGCTTATTAACCCACATTGGGCAAAATACTGACAAAACCTGAAGTCTCAGTCAGCCTGGCAAATTTCGTTGCCTGACGGGAGAAACAATGGCTCGCGACAGAGAATAGGACATCCTGATCTTACGCTATCCCAGAAGTGATACTGTAACTTAAGTATTGGGTAATTTGATAGGAGGTAAGTTGTTGGAGGATTCGGTAACACGGCCTAGTGGGGGGCTTCATGATGTGCGTAGTGCAGACAACACTCTAGATTAGCCTGCCTGCATCATAATTTGATTTGACATAAGGAACATGCGTCAATTGGTCGCCATGAGGAACGATGATTGGTGTCGAGTAGCACCCTCGGCACCTATTTTGTGACGAGTCATAAATATCAAGCGCCTCCAAGTCATTAAATTATAAATTTTTCATTCCTTACGGGCTAAGATTAGAAGTGAAACTCTGACTGGACGGCAGACAACACATTAATTATTGAGTAAAAAAACATTTAGGCTGCCTCATGACACATGGTAGATGTCCTTAATACACGTTTGAAAGCTCTCAGAAGATTAGAAATATACATGCTCTGATCTCTTTGCAATACAACTATGTATTAAGGAAATAATGACCCCTCAGTCATTGAGGTTGTAGAGCGCATTGATTCAAGTAGCTACCGAAGTGAAACTTAGTATATAATTTGCAGTCACGTGTAGATCAGCAACGTGGCCCACTTGATAGCCCCGATTATTCTAATTTCCAACACTACGAAATATAACATAACATGATTTGCGTTGCAAAAGACCACCGGAACTAGCTTTACCAAGATGGGCGTACCATCGTCTTATTGCGGCAAGAACAGGCCACGGGGACTATGCCGACTACCATCGACGTTTCAACCCCGAACATGAAGATCTGAAATGCGTTTGCGGCCGAGAGAAAAGGCCCTGGCATTTTTCAGAGTGCTGACCTGCTCTGCTACGTTGGAGAATCTATGAGAAAATGGCCCCACCTGGGGCCAGAGAAATGATAGGGGAGAAGGGATGGCAGAAGTTCATTCGATTCTTAACTACAAGCCGATGTTACAGTCTGCCGAAGAATGAACAGGGTGGGAGGTGACCACGCTGAGATTGTTTCTGACCCGAGAGTAGATGGGTGTGGAAGATAGGGATGCGGCGCAGGGCACCGTAACTCAAACACATACTGTTCTTTTTTTTCTTTTTTTTCAATCTTTTCTTTTGTCGCTTCTGGCCCCACTGCCGGTCATGTAGGTAGCAATGAGCTTTCAGAGCCCATCTACCCGTGTCACGTCTAAATAGATGTTAGGTTCTTCCTGTCACGTAAAAGATTTCAAATTCAAATAACATAACATGATTGACACTTGTCCACACGTCTCCGCCAATTGGGATGCCTCAACTCTATTTCTTATCCAAACATGCATTTATTGTCCTAATTAAAAGTGCTGCGAGATATATTGTTGAAATGGTCTGGTATTTGAACAAGTGGTCTCCCGTCTCAAGCTGGGTAGTTGCGCGGTCTGCCCAGATTCTACCTTGAAACTGGTCCGGATGCTGTTGGTGAGCAGACTATTTCGTCTTTTATTGTAATACACTCCTACGGCGCCTTTTATCCCCCACATTCAATGGTTCGGGAAAAGTTGTACTGCGCCTTAACAGTCACTTTTGTTCTATTCTGCTTCCTTTTCGACTTGTGATGTGCAGTGACTCTTCCTAAAGAAAAGATTCACAAGGTTTGCTAAATTTTTTGGCTACATCGATGCCTTGTTGTTGAATGATAAATTCAGCCCTTTTTCATGCTACCAGTAATTCATGGCAACTATATGGCAAATCTACGACTTTGTTACAGCGAGGCGACCCTGACCTTGAAATTTTAATATTGGGTGGTGTGAAACACGAATTCTCCTCATAAGGATCAACCTACAGGCGAGCTGCCTGAGAATGACACAAAACATGACTTAAGATTAGAGTCACAATAACCCAGCGTACGTCAGAACCATAGCTGTCTATCATCATTATCTTCAACTCATGTCAGAAGGAGTCACATGAGGTGTCCAAAAAAGTGTACATAGAGCCCAGTTAGAGTTATCAGAGATAATCCAGAAATTGTATAATCTTTATTGGCGCCAGATGTAATTATGGGAGTATTTGGAGAGGTTGAGGTTGGTATTGTCGTTGGTACTGGCGCCGAGGCAGTTGCCAAGGGCCTCTTAGGTGGAGAGGCATTTTGCGTTGCATTTACAAAGGCAGGAGCATTACTGTCCGATAAAGTTAGACCAAATAAATTAATACACGGAGGAGGCGATTTACCAAGCCGAACCTATCACAGAACTAATGACATAAACAGGCTTGACGATTGTGCAAGGGCAATTTGTGATGGTAAGTGTAGTTGACTATGCTGAGTTAGATTTTACGCTTTATCATGGGCTAGTTGCAACGAGTAGACAACATACTTCAGTGGCTGTATACGTTACAGAGTCAAACTCTATCATAGTAGCATTCGGACATATGGTGGTAAAGGCCGTGACGATCTCGGTTACATAAGCAATGGTATTGTTGGGGGATGCTGAAACTGATATGGTCAAGGAAAAAATAAGTGCGACTATTGAAAGATACATTTTGAAGGTATGGTGCGTTATTCGAGTCCTCGGAATATGATTAACGAAGAGCGATTTGGTTAGGGATATAAAAATATATCTGAAGAGAAAGAGCGAATGAAAGAAAAAGTGGTGAATGAATGTGATTGATGAAGATCGAGGTCGCTTTGTGTGTGTTGATGATACAACAGGATATCCAGGAGGATGGTGAGAAAACGAGGGAAAGTAATGGATGAAAGAGAGTATGGTTAAGTACTCTAAAAAAAGAGAAAGGATATTGATCAGTGGACTATAGTAATTGGATGGATAAAATGAGATTAAGAATGACTAACATCAATGGATCAAAGGACCAGACTACCAGGTTTGCTACGACATGGGGAACAAAGATCTCAAACTATGCGAAACAACTAAGATAATGTCGCGATTCAAACCATCATTTACCCTGGGGGCGTGGAGCTCATGGCTGTGGGTCGGGGCTTGCCAACGATTTGTTTATCATCCTGAATCAGCTGAAATCCACTCATTTAAAATTTGCAGAGAGCTGGAATTGGACCGTATACTGTTACCTCTGACTGTCAAATGGCCGACAGTCATGAAAATGAGAAATGTCATTCAACTGCCTTTCAGATCAACAATTCTAGAATCTAGAAACAGTACGCATCCTAATTGATGTTACTGTAGTTTATCTGGCCATCAAATTCTATTTTTATCAACACGGAGCTGCGTACGACACCCTCACCTAGCTTCAACCACGAACTCATGCTGTAGCACCTTTACAAAAATAGAAAAAATAGTTCATGTTTCTCAACAGGGAAAGCCCTTTGTTTATTGATCGTAGACATGAAAGAGGACCCCAAAATTTTTTGCAGCGCATCGGAAAATATGACGGCCCACAACTCTAGACCCCTTCGAGGGGATGCATAGGTGGTCCGCAACGCTTCACCCACGATATTTTGGGGTATGACAGAATAAATTATCTCACAAGCTCAAAGTTTACATTCCAAATAAATAATCGGCCCTGAAATTTCTAGAAAAGATCCCAATATGATGAATAAATACTCTCTGGCTGCTTGCAATACTTATCATGTGGCGCCAAGCTGCGATGTCGAGTTATAAAGGGCGCAAGGTGTTGGCGCTAAAAACAGGGTTTGCACAAAATAGATAGCTTTTAAATCCAACGAAAATGTTATCTCAGCAGCTGCGCAAGCACAACAACTCTGTCTCCTAAAAAGGTTCTATCTACGCCGTAGATTTTATCAACCCTGTAATTTTCCGTCTATTCGCCGTGTTGAACGCAGTATCATCAATGAACTCCATCTAGCTATCTCGTAAATATATTCCAGCCAAGACAATATGGATTAGCGACCTCCCAAGTGGCACCATAGGCCCGGGGAATTGAACTCCGAAGGCAATAGTTGACGTACTTCAAGGAAGATATTTAGTGTAACAGCAAGTTCGGATTGGGAATAAAATTAGCGCTGTAGCCTATTTAGCCACAGCTTGTCTAAATACTTCTGCTGTTCGAATTGGATGATACCAAATGGCCCAGCTAAGCATATTAAATATCGACGTGGTGCGCTAGAAAAAGGATGGAAACTTGGATAAATATGGGCTCTTAGGACTTTAATCTGACCGGGTCATAATTTCGGCAGAGTATATTTCATCCATTTTGATCTGCAGTGGAGCCTTTCTAAAACCTGACACAATTATCTATTAATTTTATTGTTATGCGCCATCTTTATACTCCAAGGGAGCCTGGGGTGTGATTCCTTGGTGCATATCAGCGCTTACCCCGGCCAGCTCTATTACTGACTCGAGGATGCTAAGTCAGAATTGATTTACGCATTCCATATCTTTACCGGGATATTCAACCTTCTCGAAAGCTTTAAAATCTAACTTGATTTTCGTGTAAAGTCCTGATATTAGTATCAGGGGAGCCCGTACCCATTGTAGTCTCTGGTATTCTCTTTGGCAGCTAAATAGTCGGAATAGCCTTCGTTTCATTGATTACAGAGAGGAGACCACAGTAGGATAACGGATTTTCTAAGTGTGTATTAAAAAAAAGATCTATTGTTAGTGTTATTGTGAGATAGAAGTGTGTTTTTATTGTACTTCTTGAGTCTTAGACTACCTGACACATTGGGCTCCTCTCTAGCCCAGGCCACACCTTATACAGTGCTCCTTACCTTTTATGTGGCTTGAAGATTATTGATATATTGCCCGTGATGGATAGCCATTCAGCTACCTTTTCCACGAAACCTTCTACCCAAAAAAATGAAAATTGTAGCAATGGAAACTGCATGCACGGGAAAAAGTCTCAAAAAATTTGCAGTCTAAATCATATAAGTGCGCATATCCATCTATATCTTCCATCTTTTTAACATTCGAGGCCGTCTTGATCCAATACACCGTCGCCGTATCGGGTGCTGGGTACGATCCGGAAACTCATCGGATGGCTTTTCCTCCATGATCAAGGGTTGGTGATGAGAAGGGCTTCGACCCTACCATCTGATCTGATCGTGATTAGCTTCATGATAATGGTGATAGGGGAATATGTTGAGAGATGAAGAAGATATAGACGACGAAAGCGATTGGGGATCCTCATCGAAGTGAGGACTTTGTTACTCTATCTCGGCTCTGCAGACTCTATAGTGAGAGCTGGAGGTTCGTAGGAGACACCACTGACGGGTATTGAGAATTGTCCCCCATTGTGATACAGAAGCCACAAATGATGCCTACATTGTCACAGTTTGAAGATAAAAAGGATATAAATTTTATAATATGTTGGATAGACTACGGGGTGGTTTCACGATCGATCGGAATGGGTGGGAAAGAGTTAATCGTATATACTCTGTCTGTGATTGTGTTGATTACAACCACTGATCAGTGTATATACGATTAACTCTTTCCCACCCATTCCGATCGATCGTGAAACCACCCCGTAGTCTATCCAACACAATCACAGATAGCTAGGCTTAACAACGAAGAGACACTCGACCCTGCTTCTCCATCCAAGCTTGGAGCTACTAAGCATCGAAGAGCTGTGCGAACATACTTTGCTGGGAGATTGAATCTTGAGTCTTCAGAAGAAGGTCATTCATCACCTACGAAGAGCGTCATCTACGCAGAACAATCAAGTGCTATCTCGATCTCTTTATAGAGTGTAGCTGAGATCATTGCACATAACTTTACAACGCAACAAATTTAACCCCTTTAATACATAATTACCAGCGACTTAAGTTCGCATTCTACTCCATCCTTCAAAATGTCACAACCAGGCGTTTCAGAAACTTCGCAGCCAGGAGTAGCATCGTCTGAAAAACCCAAGAGCGCCAATGTGTTCCAGGAGATAGAAGAGAGCAAAAAAGATGAGGAAGACGATGTGATACCAAGAGAAACACTACTCCAGGTGCTAGGAAAGCTTGAGTTACAGCCTCAAATTTTGATTCGAACAATTGACGCTCAGTAATGGGGACAGTCAATCACAGAAATAAATAACACAACTTCGAAGCAGCTCAAAACGTTCGCAGTAGAGTGTGCTATCAGCTACAAGACATTCATAATTGTCGATGATGAACTTATAGGTTCTTTCTGTGACGATTTCGACGGCTGGAGCATTGAAATGTTCGACAAGATTCATCAAGATGTAAAAAGTATGCTGGGACTACTGCTACGAAGAGGAGGCATCAATATAGGTAGTATCAGAGTCGGGATCGCACGCCAGTTAGCTTCAGTCCTTCAATTTGAAGAGCTACCCGAATGGAATGAAAATGACCTTGTGACAACTAAACTTCTATCAAGGTCACGTTTCTACCAGAAAAAGTTACGGCTTCTCAACAGCACTAATGCCCAAGTCGCACAGCCTCAGCCAACGACAATCATACGGCCACTGCAGACAATGAATTTTGTTGAAACAGCTGACGTTCATCTACAGCGCACACCACCAGATACAACATGCCGCCCCCCCAAGAGTTTCATACCGAACTCCAGCCACTCAAAATGTAGTTTATGAACCGCCTGAGCCAACCTTCATATCAGCTCGTGAAATTCATTGACCTCAGCCGCAGCCAGGACTAAATCCATCCCGTTCCAGCTCAGCTTACCCTCCTACACCGCTCTATGAACAACCACCGGTCTTTCAAACCTTCCAACATGACCCCTATGCTGACATCCCTCCCCGCAATGTGCCAAACGAAAAGCTGGAACCATCAGCAGTCATCAATTTTGCTAAACAATGGAATAAGAAGATATTATGAACATTTAGACCAACACAGAATCGTACAACTCTTTACTGAATCATTACGATCGATCGTGAAACAACCCCGTAGTAATTACTGTTGGAAATGGAGACACGGAGTGTTGTGGACGTATGGGCCCTCCATTTCGTCTAGGTTCCCGACACGGTCTTGTGTGTATTTAAGAGGTTGGAATGGGTGTTATGGAAGCGCTTCAGGCTACCTATTGGATATATGAGCGGCTGTATGGCGTGGGCGCAAGGAGGTCATTGGGGGTTTTCTATGCCTAGATGGCGCCACACTCGTTTATGCTGTGATTTCGGCTACGTGTCGCTTACACTTGTACTTGCAGCGCATAACTCCCACATTTTTAGCTGTAGTCCGAACATGACACCCTTTTAGTCAACTTCTACTTTCATTCCACAAATGTTGCGCCCATCTCATCGCGCGATATTTCCAACAATTCCAACATAATATGGTTTTAGACTTGATTAGGTAATCTTCTGATCATGTCATGTGATGTTTTATTGTACTACTTGAGTCTTTGACTATGTAGCACATTGGACTCCTCTATGACCCCGGCCAGCCCGCGTAATTTCACAGCTCGACGCTAGCATATATTACGCTATCTCTTTGGTTAAAATGAACAGACATGGTCCTCTGACAGCCATTAGAATCTTATCCAGACTGACTCGTGTAATTCTCGTAGTGGCGACATACTAGTTAGCAGCCACGTTGAGAATAAAGACCGTTCAACCGTCCAGCTCTTGAGCGAAAAGTATTCAA